TTTAAAAAACTGTTCGACAGTTTTGTTCCTTAACTCGTTTAGTATGTACACAACAAATTTCGTGGAATTATCTCTATTTTCGTTGTCCCGCCAAGAATTGCAGTGGAACTTTTTTTTTCGAATTTTCAAAAACTAATTTCAGATTCGTGATTTTCATGTTAAAAAAAACCCCAGATACCAAATTTCGTCGAAATCAGAATTTTTTTTTGCACCCTAGTTTAGGGGTGCGCCCTTTAGGGGTAGGAATTTTGAAAAAAAATTTGCAAAATCGGAAAGAGCATACCCAAAAACCTATTCAAAGACATGCCACCCGACTTTGTAACTCTTATGGTTGCTGAGAAAAAAATTAAAGAAGAAATGCAGATTTCAACACTCTTTGGGGGGTGGCTCCCAAACGAAACACGTTGGACCCTCGGTTTATTTGGAAAAAGTGCTTGTTTTGATGCCCTCTACAACCCGATTTTTTTTTTCGAACGGTCGTGTAACACCCTGTATACTCCATAATATACCCCTTTGGATCCTCAAGGTTTATTTATATTGAACATGTCGAAGAACTGTTCAGTTTCATCCCCTCATTATTTTATAATGAAAATTTGGATCAACAGTTAAACTGTGAAATGCGGTAGATATTCCCTCGGGTGCTGCCAAACGTGTCCCGAGATGATGCCCACATGTGTAAAATTTCCCGGGTATGGCGCACCCTATGTAAGAATTATCGTCGGTAAGAATAGTGCTGGGTATGAGTTATCATGGGGTATGAATAGTCCTGGGTACCAATTGTACTGGGTATGAGTTGTCCTGGGCATGAGTTGTCCTGGGTATGAGTTGTCCTGGGTATGTGGTGTCCGGGTATGAGTCGTCCGGGTATGAGTTGTCCGGGTATGAAACGTCCCTACCCGTATTTTATAATGTGGATATAACGACGTGAAGTCCTCCGCAATTATCTCGTACATACGGCTAACGTCCAAAGAGTGCCGAAATACACGGTGCGAGCATATAAGGATCTATTATACAGTAAGATGTACTAAAAAACGGAGGTATTGGCACTCCATTTTTCTTACGTAACTACCTCCCAAACGGTCGAAATGTTTTTTACGAAGCTGCAGAATTAGATGATTTATGAAGAAATTACCGTTTTATTGATCACGAATTAGCACAAAGTTATAAAAACAAGCACAACTATTACATCAAATTTAATATTTGATGCAAAACTTTGTCATTTCCCAAAGAATAAGCATATTATACGTCAAATGTATTTTATTTAATATCGTTCATATTAAACCCTAACACTGCTTAATCTCGAATCATACCGGTGGTGGTTTGCAATTTCAGGTTTCATCAATTACGTTACATTACAAATGTTAGCGAAGTAGAACGCATATATAGTTTAGGTACCTTTATGGCGTATACGTCTTTCTTTAACGATCACACGTGTTGGCTCTGAAAAGAGCCCTTTTTTTATGACGGCATAAAAATCCACCTCCTATTGCCTGCGATTGCCGTTCAACGTAAGGAGCACCTTGAATTGTAAATCGTAGGCGTAATAACGTTCTCGTCGTTGAAAGAAGTGAGGCTCCTCTTCGACTCCGTGCGGCGCGTCAAAATTCCAATAGACGTACAAGTCCTTGATTTTTCGCATCTTAGGAGCGGTGCAGTTGGGGTTTATTCTCAAAGCAGAACATAACACGTCGGGGTGAATTCCGTTTTGAAATCCGAACGCAGCGATATAGACGCGATCCCTGTAATTAATCGGGCCGCTGTACATCTTTGCTCTCAACAAACGCGCGACATTCGGATGGGCGCTGTTGATCATGTCGCAAACGAAATTCCAATCCAATACGACCTCTCTGGAAGGCATGATGACGACGTCTGCACAGTAGCTAGGGTATTGGGTTGTCTTGGGTAAATAATACACTATATACTCACCATTATACGTAGGTGTCTCTCATTAGTCCGGTAGTATTTCGATCAGATACATTTGTTTTATAGAAGTAGCCAAGTCGGCAAAGATAACTTAACGCGACTACACGGGGCGCCGCCGTAGCAAAAACAGAACAACGATTCATTGTGCTAATGTGCTTACAAAAGCCCACATTGTGAAACAAAATCGTACATTGCAAAACTGTTACTTTGTCCTGTAAAGAATAATGAACCACGGAATCACATGATATAATGACCATACATTCCCGTAAGAGTCGCGCGGGCCACACTATTTATGGACAATATTGAAGAAAAAGAGGGGATCGTCGATATACGTTGCCCAACTCAAAACGTTGTCGCCCCACCGGCCAGTTATCCACAAATATATTATTATAGTGGAATAAGTTAAATTCTAGCCGATTAAGGTTGCCCCGTACAAATTTTCAAAGTTGCTTTTTACCCCCTTACAACCGAAAAAAAAGGGTCATAGGAAAAGCATTATATACCTTCCCTTATTTCTTGCAAGGGAAAACATAGACACTTACGTTTGCATCTGTCTTAAAAAAAAGTGTTGAGAGCATACCTTCCCCTTCTCGCAAGGGAAAACGTAGACACTTACGTTTACATTTGTCTTGGAAAAGTATTGAGAGCATATACCTACCTCTTCCCCTTTTCGCAACCCTACAATAAACAAAATAAATTTTCCGTTCTCCGTAAACATTATACACAATATAAGTGAGACACACTAACGTAATCGTATCTTTTTTAGATAAAATACTAAGCGACTCTTCTCCCAAAAGATTACACAAAAAGTTGATAAAATGGTAAAGCTAAATTGCGAGCATAAAAAAAAACCATAACCTTACGAAAATTTTGACATAAGTCGTTTCTTTGTCGAAAAAAAGTTACAAAGTACTCGTGCTACCAACGAGTCACTAAGGGTGCCTCGATTGACACCCTGTATGTTGCTGAATGTAAAGCAATATTTAGTAGTATATGTGTAAAAACTTTACTGTTTTTTGTATGCATTTTTTTAGACTGTAACATGTGATATCAAGAGTTCCTAAGTTTGTGTTCTTTATTTTTATAATATTTCTATACAATATAGCATACTGTTGTGTTTCTTTTAAACAATGAAATTGATTAACTAGTAAACAATTAAGTGAACTTAAATTTCACTGCCATATTGTTAATGGTAGGTATTAGAATAAAGATGCTGCTATAAACATTTGCTGTTATGTTATATCGTTGATGTTATATGATTATCCTTCTGAAAATTTTGATTACAAGTGATATTTCTAAGGAATTTTAGGTTGAGATTCACTTTTTCCCAAAAACTTAAATTCTACAATTCTTACATTCTTAACTTTACAGGTTCTCCAAATCTTCAAATTCCCAAATCCTAACCTTGTCAAATTCTCAATTTCTCGAGTTCTCAAATTCATAAATTTTGTGTGTCAAGATGACACACATCAAATTTTCAAGTATTTTTTTTTCTCTATGTAAAATATAAAAACTAAAGTAATGGCAGTATTTAAAGATTCCCCGAGATCGTTTTATATCAATAATCATTTTGGTCCTGGGACTACAACTACAAGTAATGGTAATGGAAACAACGGCCATTATGAAAGTTTAGGTGATACCAATTTTAAATGTTGTAACGTACTCACGCACAAGGGTAACCTTATGTGAGGTTGTTGTACTTATTTGTATATAATTGTATTGTCTTACAAATAAACTATACTATACTAAATGAACTGTATATGTGCTAGTGTTATAATTTTCTAAGCAACAATATTAAAAATCGTCTTGTGTCAGTTAGAAGAAACAACGTCTGTTAAGGCGAGGCTTTCCATAGACTACTTGATTATGTAAAAAATTTCAGTTTTTTGCAAGAATTTTAGAATATACAACGAATTTTCAAAAACTGAAAAGTAAAAGATCTAGAGAAATATATTTTACATTATATAAAGCAAACATTTTACAGAAATATTTATCCGAAATTAAATAATTAGGGAAATAGATTTAATTTAGTATTTCATGGTTTATTTGAATTTGGATAAATATTTCTGTAAATTGCTTTATATAATGTTAAATATTTTTCTTTGGTGCCATCTACATTCCTTAATGAAGATTATTCCGTATGATAGAAACATGATCCAATTGTACTCAGAGAATTGCTGTTAAATTATATTGACATTTTGAATATGATGCTGTTACTGATTTTAAAATTCACTTGAAACTTTAATGACTCAGACTTATTGATTTTAAATTTTACTGACACTTGCATAATTATTGTCCAATTGTAATGAGACTCAGAGAATTGTTTTGAGTGAAGCTAGATTTATAGGTCCGTAACAAGAATGCAATTGGATCCTAGTGGATTGACAAAAAAGTACAATTGGTTAATAATTTTTTACCTTTATCATATTTCTCAATACAATGGAGAAAATGTATGACCAACTATTTTTTTTTCAGCCGACTAGGATCCAATTGCATTCTTATGTAATTGCTGCATTACTGAACTATAATTTCAATTCTCGTATTAATTTTTAACGACTCACATTATAAATAATCATTTTGAATAACTGTAGTAATTTCTATGGACTCTCAATAACATTCAAATTAATTTAATAGCTTAGCCTTACGTGATTATTAATGCGAGTAAGAAATAAGAAAAGAGCAAGAGTAAACTCTAATGACTCATTGCTTCATTAGTTGTTAACCGCTGTAGTAATTATTTTTACTGCAAAAACCCAGTACAGAGATATTTCCTGTTAGTAAATTCCTTATATTTTGTTTTCAATGGCTCAAGGATGGTGGATAACTTTTAATTTTCTTAAGAAGTTGCATAATATTACTGTTCTCAATAGTAATACATTGAGGCTGCGTCTACTCACACGATAAGTTGAAAAATGAAGTGCTGAAGACAATTTAAAACCAGTAAAATATGGTTTGAAAAGGCTATAAGATAAGAAAGACCCAGCAGCATTTACAAGTGAATGAAAAATTATATACCTACCTAATGTATGTAAAAAAATAATTAGGCTAGTATGGACTGGAAACTGATTTTAGGTGCTTATTACTGCGCTAAATTAGTAACCTTATGTTTAGAAAACACTTACGTTTATTAAAAAATACTAACTAGGTAATTTTATGAATGTATAGTTTTTCTTAAAATTATTTCAATTCACTAACGTATTCAGTAAATTTTTTATACATAAATAGTGACTAATTCCATGGGTATTATCATTTCGTAATGGATCTGGAACTGCTTCAACCAATCTTTGAAATTGTTGTACAGTTAAATTTATGTTGGATTCTGGAACGATAACGTTGTTAGAAGTTACAATTTCCGGAAAAGATGTGGAATCTTCCACACCATAGTAGTCAGGCTCTTTCCAATATAAACTGTCTTCATCATGTCCACTTCCTTCAATTATGGATGTGTTCCACAGTTGTAGCGGGGATCTACAGTTCATTGTCCTCAGACCGTGGTTATTCCATTGCGACACAAACTCCTTTAATGACTGGCGTATTCTTGGCAAATATACATACGTCAAAGAATACAGATCTATCTCACTAGTTTCATCAATCAAATTTTCTTCTTCCATCATTAAAAATAGTTCTTTGTAGTGTTTGGACACAACTCTATTCACTTCTGACCACAATCTTTCGATACGCTGATTATGCACAGAACGGCCAGTTATGAAACTCCCACGGTTAATGCCTTTCTGAGTCAACATGTATCTGGCTACTGCTACGTTTTCAGTACCATGGTCTCCTCGAACACGGCTTGGCAGACCAAAGTTCTGTACACCCTTTTCAAATAATGAAAGTACAGTGTCAGCTTTATTATTGTGCATACATTCTAGGTATATGATGCTTCTACTGTAACCGTCTATACAACCGTGATATACGAATCGGAAATTTATCAATTTGTGATTGGAGTCTATGTGCCTAAAATACTCAATGTACTCTTGATTTTTATATATTTCTACAACTTACCATAAGTGATTTGCACCCTTTACATTGTAGACTCTACGTTTAATCGTTTTTCTCTTACGCTCTGATCTTCCTAATGGATCTACTTCTTTCAAAATCTCTCGTATGGTAGCTCTAGGTACTTTCATGTTCCGCGCACAAATACTTCCTAAAATATATGTTTCTCCAGCATTTGGAGTTCCCATCATAATGTCCTGTATTATAGATTTTATTTCGTCTATTAAACGTCTCTTCTGTGATGCTATGGGTGTCTTTGACCCGATATAAAGTCCTCCTTGAAATATTCAAAATTTCACTTATTTTCGACCACTTAAAACCTAGTGATCTGAAGTGAAGTACTTGCTCTTTTGTAATGTCATATCTTGGTCTACCAACGTGGCCATCTTTTATAATGGATGTCACCTGAAATAAATAAGATTTTAGTATAGTAGGTAATAGTCAGAAAATCTTTCGTCTTACGGAATTTGATAAAGATGGTGTAAAACTTGCACTTATTAAATCCATTATTGGGTTGGGTCTAACTGATGTAGCAGGTACATTAGAAACTGATTGTATGGAGGTAGTTGAGGCATTATGTTCACTTGTCGCACCTCTTACTGCGTCTTCCAATATATTACGAAGCTGAGGACTTGACACAATATTAGATACAATGCCATCAACTTGGCGATCCATTGCAAATCTAAAAAAAAATTAAGTATTAGCGGTATTAAAGAAAATTGATTAACAGAACCTACCTGTTAGATTGAAGTGGCCGCGATCCACTAGAACACACTTGCACTTTACTTTACTGAACAGGTGAAAATAACGTCCGAGTTTGGGCAGGAGCACGAGGGAATGTAAATCAACGTAAATTCAATTATTCAAGTCTCACACGTGAATTGTTGTGTTGCTTGTGTTGTGTCAGCTGATCGGCGCGAAATCACGTTACGCCGGCGTCAGTCGCTGCCCGGTGCGCCATCTGGCGGTGAACCACAGGAACCACTTTTTCCTCACATTTGTACCGGGCACATTTGTGAGGAATTTTGCTTACAAATGTAAATATTTTTTTGAATAAAGTTATAAATAATTTTGATGGAACAAAAATGTGAAATATTCAAAATTATTCACATTTGCGTAAAAATTATTTACATTTGCGCAAAAATTATTTACATTTGCCTAAAATTATTTACATTCACTGATTTTTCACATTTTAATTTTGGCACAAACGGCGTGCCATACATTACCTACTAAATAAATAAATAAATACATAAACACAATACAATATATGTAATTACATGTTAATTTTGGTGTCCAATCTCTGTTGAACTCGAAATGGGGTTGTATGATAATTATTAGGAAGTGAACACAAAACCTTCCCCATACACTTGGAATAATCTTTAATTGTAATGCGACATGTTTCGGCTAACAAGCCATCATCAGGCCTAAAATGTACGATTACAAATTTGTCTCACAAGAGTGATAAAACTTACAGGATGTTATAAATATTAATAATACAAGTTAAAAATTAATCGACCGTGACTCCGTCACATATAAACGGAATAAACTTATCCAAGTAAAACTCTTTTAAAATATCTATGTTGGTGGATCACTCTTCATCTTTTAGGTACAATTTCTTGTATTACGCACTCATGAGGTGTCCATATAACCAAATAACACCTTGTCTCTTTTGGTGCAGTACATGACATTTCGGTCCCGCCGTTTCTCTCGAATTTAAACAATTTTTAAGTAAAAATGGAATCAAATTTATGACCTCACCTCCATATTCCCCCCATTGTAATGGAGCCGCAGAAAATGCGGTAAAGACTATTAACAGAGACTTGTTATAACTAGACCGCGCGTAACGTAGATTTTACTATAAACGCCTGTTGTCAAGATAGGATAGGCAACCAACTGTTCATCGCGGGGCAGACGTACGTTCTGCAGCTTGCTTAGTCATGTTTATTCTAAATTTTAGTACCAAAAAAAGATAACATGTAGCTGTTAACTGTTTTAATAGAATTTTTTGGTGTTTTATTTGAACTAAATTGGAATATAACTGCCTGACTCTAGTCCTAATTTGATTTATATGTGTATTTTGGTGGTGAACACGTATAGGAAAATATACTCTTAAAACTAAAGATGTAAGTAGTAAGATGTGATTATTTAGCGGATTTTGATTCAATATATGCCTATCCAAAAACCCAAATGGGCTGTAACTGTTATTTATTTTTCTTAGACTGCTGATAACCATTTTGTTTACAACGCGGTGTGGTGTGGATTGAATGAAAAACCTGAACACATTTTCAGCAATTTGGCAAATTTTTAATGCATCGCTTGATACGTGCAAAATCCTCCACGATTTTTTCTAGTTAAAAGCTTTGAATAACTCTCTGATGCGAAATCGCATCTGCACATATGGAACATTTAACAGACTTAGCTATTTTTCTTGTAACAAAACCTGAAATATACTTAGTACCAGTAAGTACTTAGTTACGTCTATACCTAATGAAATGACAATCCATTATGCCCTTGGCCGTCATAGACTGCTTTATAGATCTCATATGACAGATATGTGGCATATAATAGGCAAATGAAAAATAGAATACATTATAAACAATTTTATGATTAACTAATTTATAAACAAGTATACATTTTTGTGTCAATATGTTTGGTTCATTTATGAAACTCTGAACTTTTAATTAATCGTATTGCACTTTGGTTGTCAACTAATAAAGGTGTTGCACTTGTTACATCTTCGCCAATCTCATTAAGAAAACTGCGTAACCATAACACTTCTTGTCAAAGGCAAATAATGAAACGTGATCGATGTTTTTTTAAGTAATTCCAAGGCATATCTGCAGATTTATAGTAAAATGAACCTTTTTATTTTGTCGATTTCTACGGTTTTGAAAAACCGAAAACTATGAGTAATAGTATGTAATAGTATTTTTTCGGTGCTACTTTATTTAGTATGCGATCTACCAAATGTGCGGTTCACATTTTATATGCCGCGTCATTTCTTATCATTTTTGAAGCACAATCGGATGGCAAAATCAAAAATTACCTAGAAATATAAATAGTTGTAAATATTGTCAACGTAAAAAAAATGATTTACATAATATATAAAGTAGCAATATCCATAAGGATGGCAATGAATTTATCATCTTGGAATTACCTAGGTGAAAGTGGAGAACCCTTATATTTCTAGGAATAGAATGTCATTAGATCTCATTAGACCTCAAAGTTATTTACTGATTCATTGTCATTAATAGCTCTCTATTAATTAATACATAGATGAAAGTGAAGCATCCCTACTTTTAGGAACAGAATGTCATTACACCTCATTAGAGCCGAGACCAAGGTGAAGAATTCTTATTTCTAGAAATTGAATGCCATTAGGGCCTCATTAGACATGTAGTTAATTGGAAAGGTCTAGTTTAAAATGTCGGACCGTTTGTTAATTTGTTTAGTCCATATCAAGTGACACTCCAAGATGTTGTTGCGCGATTTTTACTTAAATATCGTCTCTTCAGAGAATACCGCTGTTAATTTTCTTCGTCAACATGAATTATTGGCCGATAATCAGCAAGGGAGTCGATGTGCTCGTTGTGGAGCAGAAATGCAGGAAAAACGCAGAAAAAATCGAAAGGGCGAGTTTGTACCGATTCTCAGATGTCCAGTACGAGGATGCCAAAGTATGAGGTCAATACGCCATGGAAACCAATTTTTCCACTTTACCGACTTAAATGGACGAATTAATTGTCGACTTACGTTATGTGAAATTTTGGAAATGGTATTCATGTTTGTAAGCAAAATTTCATACAAATCGGCGGTTACATTCACTGGTAAAAGTGAAGCAACGATCTGCGATTGGTACAATTTATGTCGGGAAGTTTGTACTGACATAGTTTCCGTCCAACGTCGAGGCAGGTTACAAGGAACTGAGCAACAACCGGTACAAATTGATGAAGCTCGATTTGGTGGAAGGAGGAAGTATAATCGTGGACGGCTACTTCAAGGCGATGCGCCTCCAGAATCGAAAGAAAGTGACGCCGAAGTAGAAAACAACAGGAATCACGGCCGAAGAGTTGATGGACCATGAGTTTTTGGGTTATGCACTCCAAACGAGGCTCGCTACTTTGTTGTAGAAAGACGCGATCGAGCAACGCTATTGCCCATAATACAGAGAGAAGTAGAAGCAGGTTCTACAATTCACTCCGATGAATGGCCAGCCTATGCAAATTTACGCGATCATGGTTTTATACATCGCACAGTAAATCACCAACAAAATTATGTTGACCCCATAACCGGTGCCAATACTCAAAGGATTGAGCGGTCATGGTTAGATGCCAAGATAAAGATTTTGAAAAGTATGCGTGGTACGACAGCGAACCATTTACAATCACACTTGAACCACATTTCATGGATGAAGTTGAGACAACATGAAGATGATAAATTGCTACGGGAGTTCCTTCTGGACTTGAAAATTACCATCGGTCCCGCCCGGCAAGGCAAACCGTCTTCTTCTTAGGCTGCTCAATCGATAAAAATAAATGCTCCGGCTAACTCAAATCGGTGGGCTTTTAACTCTTTTGAAACGGTGTAACAAACCTTGACCTGCCGCCTACCAATCTCCTGCCTCTACTCCTACTCCTCCCTTTCCTTCCCCTTCGTTCTTCTTTAAAGACAGGCACATTGAAACCAAATAGATAATATATTGAAATGATATTAGAGATACAAACAAATTACAGGGATCTAGCAGTTCTTCTCTCCTCCTTGTAAAAACACTAGCTTAACAATGACAACTAAACTAAATAAAAAAATCCTAACAGGTGAGACTAATTTACTCAAGGGGTGGCCATCCTCTACAGTTTGAAAATTGCAACAACAGGTAATCGGTTTTTAATCCAGCGTGGGCTGGGACTTATTTAAATAAACACAAAAATTTATCCTACTCTTTGGTAATCGTTCATTGGACTTTAATAAACAATCAAATCAAAAATTTTTTTACTATAGCTTAATTACCAAAAAGTGGAATTTTACAGAATATTACAAATTTAATTAGACTAACCTTTACAACATTTGTACAGCCGATCTTGTGAACTGCTCTTTCCTCTGGTACAGGGTGGATGTGATGAAACCTGACACTTAGGTCTCTGTGACTTCCTAGGGGGTGGCTTGAATTTAACACACGGAAACAAAAATCCACGGTGCCTTTCCTTCCTCGGAACGAAAGCAAAGTTTAGCGTTTGAACTGAAACTTAGTCCAGGAAATCCTTCGCGTGGCGAGTGGGAGACGGCTAGTTGCCAAAGTTTCTACACAGCACAGTGTATTTAATTTTATTTTATTAGTTTATTAGCTTTGATCGCCTGCGGGAGACAGATTTTTGAGTTAGCGGTACGGCAGAACACAAACTTTTATGATCACTATCCGACGGTAAACCGCGATGGTTCAAAGTATTATTTCACCAGCTCTTCTTGGGGCAAATATCTCTCCGAAACGCAGCGCTCCTTCGACAAATGACCTTACGGCACTAGTAGGAAATTCCACCTGGGGCGGATCCCGAAATTCTGCGCCTTGAGGACTAGGGCAGCACTTTGACTTAT